CGTGCTGCCCACATACGTACGCACGCCTACAACACGCCTACGCGAACGGGACACCGTCCTGGAATCCGCCAACGCAGTTGGAAAATAGGTGAACATTGCGGTGCTTCATGAATCTCTAAAACAATCTTCGGGCGCTCCCGATGCGGACTGCGAACAGGAGCCTGAGATAATGAATGTCATCAGTTCTTGAGAGATCTGTTTCTCGAAATAGTGACAAAGCATCTATCTAATTCGAAACCGCGAACGACTCTTTCTTCGGATGAACCTTTTATTGTTATTAAAAGATCGAGAATTATTTGAAATAAAAAAATAATCTGAAATAAATTAATCACAATATTGTATTATCTCATTGATTATGTTTCATTTTTGAATTAGACTGTACTTAAAGATATTGGCTGAAGAAAATTTATCATAGTGGATTCTAGAACGAAACGGAGTTCTAAATTAGAATTGAATATATTAATGGATTAGCTATTTTTATCTGCCTCTTTCTTTTTATTTAGCATAAACTATTAGAAATGTCGAAGTTATTTATAAACAATCGAACTAACTATTCACGCAGCATAAATGCAGCATTTCCTAAACAATCTCGAAAGAAAAAAAAAAAAAATAATATATATATATATATCTACAGACATTTCCATTTCTGAATGAAAAAGCTTTGAAATACCCGGGCCATTACCTATAACGCATTATTGCCTGAACGAAGATCGATGGAAGACAGACACAATGCGATGTAACGCGAGATCTGCTTTGACCTTTTGCGGCGTGGAGGAAACGGGTGGAGGAATGCGATGAGATGTAGAGAGACCTAATGTTTGAAGTACATGCACCATCATCAATCATGTATGAAAACCTCGTAAATACGCTTATATGCACGGTTGTATGCACTAACGAAAGTTCACCTCATATTAGCGAAGCAGTTACATTAATTTGCCGACAGTTATTAATGTTACGTATTAATTGCACTTGAAAAACTCACTTGCACATCTCCGGCATACTTCAATAAATAAAAAATAAAAAAAAAATAAAAAAAACGTAAAGCTATGATATAGCTAATATATTACTATAGTATAGTTTTAGCTATTATTCATTCATCAGACGTACGAATTATAATACATTTTTAATATATGCAAGAATGTATAAAAAATTAGGTAAAAGTATTTAGTTATTTTAAGATAAAAGAAGATATAAAAATGAATTAATGTATGTGGGCGTGTGTATCCACTTTACATTTTTCTCACTTTCCGTGAAATTCTATACAGCTCGTGTGTTAAATCTCGCAGGTGGTAAACTTTTTTTTGTTAAGAGGATTTTGTCGACCTCTGTTAAACGGACCGTTTTATAAAAAAAACACAGCAAGCTTGTGTTTTGTTACATGTACCGCATGTCTATAACAATTAGATTGCCGTGTCATTAGTTTCGGAGACTCTTGCGTCCCATAGGAAATCGCACCTTCGTCGACGATCGGATTGCGCCGTCCAAGTGAGTCCGATCGTTTACAGAGATTGACTACTGATGCAACATCGAGTGAAATAACATTAACGGTAACAAAAACAGACAGTGATAGATGACGCAAACGCCCAACAACGCTGTACAGCTTATCCAGTGAATTTCTTCCCGCCGACGAAATGCAAATAGCATCGATAATTAACGTGTTCAGTATGCAAATGGATATTTTCAAAAACAACCAAACTGAACTCGCGACAACGCAATGGCACCAATCAGATCGCGTTTATCTTCGATTTTATCTTGCGAGGGGCATGTAACGCGCGTAAGGTTTTTTTTTATCGCGTTCAATTCAATTTTGCAACACGTACGGATTGGAGTGACATGGAAATGTTCCGCCTAATAATTAGTCGACGTGAGATTGCGCGAATCGTCTCTCTCCATTTGGGGATTAGTCGAGATTTATCAGGGAACACGTCGATCCGTTCAGACCCACCTAATTTCCTTAGAGCTTAAATCTTCAGAGAACGGAAATAGTTTATCGCTAGAAGCGCGTCCCGTCCGATGTGTCTCTGCTTCTAATTTAGACGGAAACTTGTCCGATCGTGCGCGGAGATTGACTACTGGCGGAATATTAAATATCGTGACCCGTATTGCAAAAATAAAGAAGAACGACGATACGAAGACGTCGCAAATCGCGTGGTAAATGACTTGAAATATTTTACATAAATATATAAATCCTCGCTTTATAAAATGGAACGCGACAAATAATTTAAGCGTATTAATTCAAATTAATTGAGCGTGCTCAGTATTAAACGTTTAGCGTGTCGATTCCGACAGTCTTCGCTAATTTCCATGGAGTCTTTACGGGGACATGGCGGAAGGGGAAGAATTTGTCGGTCGGAGCGCTTACCTAAATTACCAGGGAGTACTCGCGGGAGAATATTCTCCGTGTCAAGGCGTTTTAGTCCACCATTAGGCTGTTAATGTCCGTGACACGCGCAGAATTAGCACCCCCAATGGCGAATTATGGGATTTATAACGAGAGCGTGTAATGGATGATCCAGAGCATTTCAGACCAGACTGTTTGCCATTAAACAAAAGTGACGTCCGCAAAATGTGGAAAATGTGGCGTTATTAAGACATCAGAACGAAATAATGCCGACGTTCTTACAATAGGTAGAATAATACTTGAAAAACTATGTTCTTTTATTACATCCGTTTAATATAGAGATTGCAACAAAACTCAATCTCCGTTTTCACGGAGAATAAAAAATAAAGAGATCAAATAGAGTGGCGATCTAGGCCGGTACTA